CACTTGTTTCATTTTGTTTTTGACCCTTATTTGGTATCTTTGTTTCTAAGGGGGTAGAAAACCTCTTCGCATAAAAGTTTCAATTTTCGGAGAAGGGCCCATCTTGGTCTTGACCACATTCATCAATTGATTTGGCTAAGAAATTGCATTTAGGCCACCCTGGGGTAGAAAACTATCTTACAGATAATTGTCGACATATTGTAGTCGTGTAGTACCCACATTAGTGTACTTCCAAGTGTATTCTATTTAATTTGTAACCCTTTTGAGAATATTGGTTGCGATCGTAGATTTGGGATGCACGTCTTTATGAAATAAAGTCTATATAAAATAAATAGAAAGTAGCACGGGACCGAACGTTTGCTTCATCGTCATTAAGTCTCCCATGCACAATTTAAATAACAAAAAAATAATAATTCCCATCTTATGGTAATGGATGTAAAAGAGTAATTAACTTTGACTATTCTGAAATCATTTTGCCCTCAACTATGAGGTGGACGAAACTAAATACCACGAAACACGGTATTGTAAACGTTGGCAATACAAACACTAAATTACAGCTGATTTGAATGAAAAATGTTGCAAATATCTTTACAATACCAAAAATTGAGCTGTATTTTTACCTGGGGCTATTATAGATGTTCTATATCATATAGGTTCTTGATACTCAAATTAAAGGCAAAGGCCGAAAAATAAGATCAGGCTATGCAAAATATCTAAAACGGACGTAGGTGAACATCTCTTACAATTTTTGCAATGCAATTGCAATATTTATTTCTTGGAGTCATTACTTATAATAAATATTGTGTCGCTTACATAAGTCAGATCTGTGATTTATTATACTTTAAAAAATGTATAAAAGGCTAAAAGTACGGGCCGGCAAAGCGGACAGGGCCAGCTAGTCTATATCTATAAAAGAGAAAAATGTTTGTATGTTTGTTTGTAATTTATGGACTCGAAACCCGCTGCACAGATTTTCCTGAAAATTCCCAAGTATACTTCAACATCGCCTGAATGTAACATAGACTATATAAATTTTTACAATACCACTTAGAACAGGAGATATAGCAGCAAAATCGGAGGTACCTTCCAAAAATTTAAATTTTATGTGCACACATCTATTGATCAATTACAGATACAGTCTGCAAATTTGGAATGCGTAACGGCATTTGGAACAAAAATTTGCCAAATATATTTTCTGCCCATTTCATGTATAAACATTAAACAATGTGATAGAATTTGTCTAGAAAATTGGTTTGCCAAATTATATTGAAATCGGTTCATATTTGGATATAGTTCCCATATATATTTTCGGCCAATTTCGTTTATTTGATTCACCAAACGCGATATGTATGTTTGATTTTAGCTATTCCCGCGTCCCAGTGGCCGAAAAATGGCGCTTGAGCTGAACATATCGCAATATTCCATTCGGCAAGTATTGAAAAATGAGCTCGAAAACTACCGGTGGTCACTCTCCGCTCGTATTAATCGACCGTGGTATCAGAATAAATGCCGAATAAGAATAAAAGCCTTGGGCACGCAAACATTTTGGCCGCAGACCTTGGACATTCCAACAGGACTCAGCACCATCTCCGGATACCAATCCGTTGGACTATTGTGTCTGACGTATTTTGGAAAGCAAGGTTGGCATTTTGGAAAGCAAATCCAGTAAAGAAAATCTTAAAGTCGGGCGGGGCCAACTTTACGATACCCTACACCACTTTGCTAATTTAGTAGAGCTCCGCATAACAATTAAAAGTTCTTATGGGAGAATTCAATCATACACGCTATGATTATAATTATAATTTAATGTTCAAAGGACTTAATATGCCGAAGCATTTATATCTTTTAAATTCGGACTTGTAAAATCGGAACTGATCTCGATAAAATTTGGCAAATATATTTCTGAGCTGTATTTGATATAATTCCCTGAATATCGTTGTTACGGAGTGCATATTACGGCTGTGGAGGACAAATACAACAAATCGGATGAACAATATATATGGGAGCTATAGCTATATCTGAACCTATCTTCACCAAAGTTGGCATACTAGCTTCTAGACTCAATTCGGTCGTATGTGCGAAATTCCATTCCATTTGGACAAATATTAGACGTTTGGTACACAATAAAAAGTAAATCGGACGAAGTTATATATGGGAGCTATACCCAAATCTGAACCGATCTCGATAAAATTTAGCAAAAGTATTTCTGAGCTGTATTTGATATATTTCCCCAAATATTGTTGTTGCAGAGTGCATATTACGGCTGTGGGTAACAAATACAACAAATCGGATGAACAATATATATGGGAGCTATAGCTATATCTAAACGGATTTCGATCAAATTTGGCATACTTATTTTCAGGCTGATATTACACGTTTGGTGCACAATAAAACAAAAATCGGACGAAGATTTATATGGGAGCTATATCTAAATTTTGATTTGATAATCTCCAATTTCAATAGGGTTCGTCCTTGGGCCAAACAAATGATTTGTGCAAAATTTCATCTGGATCGGGTAATAAATGCGAACTGTACTTTGTTTACAAAAATACATGGACAGTCGGACGGACATGCATAAATCGACTCAGAATGTGATTCTATGCAGATCATCAAAAGAAACTATGGGTCTATCTCGTTTCCTGTTACAAACAAATGCACAAATACATAATACCCTGACCACCTTGTGGTGTAGGGTATAAATACCAAAGTGCCGATCACCTCAAGCAATAGCTTCGCCAGGAATGGGCCAAAATACCGCAGAGCAACATTCGGGCACCGTGTGACGGTTTCTTTGGCCGTTTGAAGGCCATAATTCGTGCCAAATGTGACCAATTCGAACAAATATAAACTTATTCTAAAATTTGATGCTATTTCCGACATTTTTTGCTTTCATTCTCCCTTCATTCAATCCTTCGTGTATGCGGAATAAATTTGGCATTTTCCTACTTTTCTCATGGTCAGCTGTTCCTGGCATGTTCACGCGTTGGTAGACCGAGCTATTTGTTTGTTTACGCACAAAAGTATTGCAATAATTACGTTTTTTGAATTTTGAAATTTATCTTATTTATTTTTTTAACTGACAAATATTCGTACATAAAATTTTGAATGCATATAAAATCACCGGGTTCGGCTAGTATTTATATATATTTTGTAATTCTTCTTGAATTTTTATATCGCATGGCATTTTTTCAATTTGACATTCTTTATTGAGAAGCACATTTTTTATTGTTTTTTGTTGTGAATTCTGAATATAAGATGAAGAAAATGAAATTAGTGCACAATACGATGTTAAATGGTCAGTTTTCCTGACTAGAATTGGCATCTAGCTTTTCAACTACAGGACCTATATCGTGGTAAATTCTAAGTCAGAGTATTCGGTTAGTAGATCAAAATCACAAAAATAAAAGTAAGGTTCCCAGATAAGGGCTCATTACGTACATAGTCTCAAATATTTTGCTCTAAACTTCGTAAAAATTACGATATAGTTTTAAATTTGATCCTATGGGTTACTTGTAGAATTATCATAGTGTCTAGGATTTGGCAAAGCCTCCATAAAGAGGATACCCCGATTTCAAGTATTTTTATATTTTTCAAACAAATTTCGGCATGCTTTGGTAATTTGGGATTTTAGAAAGAAGAAACCATTCATTCCGAGCTTTTAATATCCTCCACCTTAGGGTAAAGGAAACAATTTTATATAAATGTATCTGAATTCAAGCGTGTTTCACTTTAAACTTCATATACCAGTAAGACCTTTTGCTTAATGCCGTTAAACTTATCAAAAAACCGTAAAATGGGTGAGGCCGTTATATGGGGCCATACCAAAACGGGAACCTCTATAGACAATTTTATACTTCAAGGATTGTTATCTATCAAATCTTCTAAAATACCAAATTTGATACAAAATTGTGTGATAAATGTGACTAGGTTTATAAAAATATCGAATATCGGTGGATATCGTTATATGTGCGGTATAGGTAAACGGGGACATAAATATTCAACGTTCTGCCACTCGGCTAGAACCCATTATGAACTAAAAATACTAAAAACTAAAATTTTTTTTATCAAAATATCGAATATCGGCAGGTACCGTTATATGGGGGCTATACCGACCTATACATACAATGTATCGCCATACGAGCTAGAACCCATTATCACCCACAAATACCAATTTTTGGACAAATTCCTGGGAAAATGTTGCAAAAAATCGTCAAAATACCGAATATCGGGAGGCATTCTTATATGGGGGCTATGCCAAAACATGGACCTACACATACAATTTTTGCCACACGAGCTAGAACTCATTATACACTATAAATACCAATTGTTAGACAAATCCGTGGAAAAATGTGGCAAAAAATCATCAAAATACCAACCATCCTAGGCACAATACAAATTATTCTGCTAAATATTGACGCTCTACGCCAAAAATAAAGTGTTAAATTGTCTTAGAATTTTATGCTGATTATGAATATACTTTATATATTCATAATCATATATATACTTTATGGGGTCTACGATGAATATTTAGGAATGTTACAAACGGAATGACAAAGTTAATATACATATACATAAAATACATAATAATGAATAAAAAGGCGAGTAATCAATTGAAGCTGATAAAGTGGCACAACACAGGCAGGAGTTCTCTTACCCAAGCTTTCGCTTGTGGTGATAATAGAAGTACTACACACCACTGTAACTGGAACCAAAGGATACTGTTATGGAATTGTTGCTAAACAAATATGGGAAAGTTGGAAACATGTTCCTGGGAAATGTATCGGAAAATTTTGGTCAACAATGTTGCCGTTCAATGTTCATTCATAATTTTCTTCGTTGGCCACATTTTTGCTGTTGTGTGGGCAAAATGTTGCCAAAGAAAATTTCCCGAACGTTGGCGTTGCTTTCAGCCACGATTCTGCCTCTGCAAAAATGGTTTCGGCCAAGAAACACTCCGCACATGCCAGGAAACACTTTGGTTTTTTAGTCGATTGCCAACATTCTTTTCGTGCGCTTCTGCCGACCCAACATACCCAACGTGTAGCGGACGAATGTAAACGAGTGAACGGACAAAATAACATTGCCCCAAGTTAAACTACGAAACGACGACAATTAAAAGAATCGGTACTCCAGCTGACTGCTGGAACGTTTGTGGGGTAGAAAACAAAAACAAGTGGTAAATGAATGCTCACCGCAAAGTGGGCAACATTGGATGGTGTACCGTGGCAATTGTTGATGTTGGTCGGTTATAAATAAATAGAAGATATTTATTGTTGCAAGCAGCATACATGTCCCACACCTCCCGCGGAATGTTCATAGAACCAATGCAAAATAGCCTCACACACACACACGCTGCTCTCAGTCAAACGGCTCAGTTGCCTGTCGCAAGCACTTGAAGGCTCGCGCGCGAATAATTGTTTGTTCTGCTTTCAATTTTCTCAAGAGTCAAGAGTGTGTTTATTCCGTCATTCAGTTTCTCGCTTACGTTGGCATCTTCGCACTGTCACCGACTTGCAGTTCAACGGTGCGGATGAATGACAAACGTTTGGACCAGCCTGTCTGGTTGAGTGTTCCAACAATGATTGGCGGTGTTTTGTAAACGCGATGCATCAGTTCAGATCCGGGCAATTAAGAAAGTGTTGAAGTGAAAGTGAAAAAAAAAATTGATTGCAATTTATCGGCGTATGGAAAACTTTGGTTACGCATCTGTTGTGATTTCCGTTTCCGTTTCGATTTGCTGTCGAGCTGCTGCTTGCCATCAAATTCATAATCGAATGTATTAATATTGAAAAAAAACAAACACACACACACCACAAAGTCGTGTTTTAAATGAGAATTCAATTTATTGGAAATTGTGGTGATATAATTGAATTGAATTCATCCGAATGTGAATATTGCTATGAAGAATTTGAAGAAGAGCAAAATATTCATTTTGAAAAAATATTAAAAATATATAAATTATTATAATTCTTGTGTTGTACCACAAAAAAGAAAGAATATTTTGAAATCTCGTCAGAAAAAGCGACATCGAAAAAAAACCAAACATACGAAAGCAAATAAAAAAACAGCAACAACAACAGCCGAAAAGATGCTAAATTCTATTTTTAAATAAAAAAAAAAAAACGAAAAAAGAATACAAAACACAACAAAAAAGAATAAAAAAATAAATAATATTGTGAAAGAAACAAACAAACCAATCTCAGAAGAAAGAAATATTTATCAACAACAAATGTGACACTTTCACATAAGTCCATGTGTAAGAGTGAGTGAATGAGTGAGTGCATAGGTGTGTGAGTGTGCCTGCCGTTCTCTATTCACATGCCGACACATTTAATAATAAATACAAATTAAATAGAAAAGAAGAAGAATCGATTTTTATGCTGATGATAGGCCTGTGATAGTGCCGTGGAAGGCGGGAAGTCTTCTTCTCTCTTGATGAAGAGTGGCACGGCACAACGTGTCGCGTGTGAATAACATATGTATGTAAATACATGTGTACTTGTGTTTGATTCATTCCCTACAAACCTTCAACTAAAGGTGAACATAACAGAAACCCCTGCAAAGTGTATTTTGTTTGTTTGTTTGAAGAATAAATAATAGTCTCACATCCCTATATACGCATCTAGGAATCTCTGTATATACCGTAAGTTATTCTGTTTTGGTTCGTAAATTAAACAACAACAATCTATGATTTAAGTGAATCAGTTAGGATATTCTGTACCGGGCACAAAGAAAAAAAAAACACATACGATTCAAAAACTCATATTAGAGCCTATTTTTTTTTTACTTTTTAAAGAGATAACTTCTTTTTTAAAGGTTCATGGATATTTTAACAGATTACAAAACTCTTTTCTTCTTTAGGAAGTGTTAAAGCAATTCATTATGGAAATGAATATGGACATCACTTCTGCTATTTTAATAAAATTTTAAGTGAATACGAAAAAATATTTCAAGAATTCACCCAGCGCCTGTGGCTTTACGTTGATAAGAAAGAATACAACCATTTCTAATGAATTTTTCAATAATTAATTTCAAAAAAATCAAAAATTTAATAAAATACCAGTAAGGAAAAGTAAAAAATCAGGCCGGCCCGACTATATGCAGGGCGAGATAAAAAAAATTGCAACAAAGTCAAACGCCATTAATTTATTTATTTTTTAATTTTATTGAGTGAAAGCAAAAAATGTCGGAAATAGCATCAAATTTTAGAATAAGTTTAGATTTGTTCGAATTGGCCACATTTGGCACGAATTATGACCTTCAAACGGCTAATGAAACTGTCACACGCTGCCCGAATATTGCTCTGCGGTATTTTAGCCCATTCCCAGCGAAGCGCTTGCTTGAGGTGATCGACACTTTGGTATTTAGTGACAATCTTGCTTTCAAAATACTCCTGACACAATAGTCCAACGGATTGGTATCAAGAGATTTTGGTGGCATTGTGCGCTGGAAATGAAGCGAGGAGCCTCATTTTGTAACCATTCTTGGGTGACGCGTGCCCAAGGCTTTAATAACCCTCCAGAATATTTTTCCGATAATATTCGGCATTTATTATGATGCCACGGTCGATTAATACGAGCTGCTATGGCGGCCCACACCATCACCATGGCCGGCGCTTGAGTTCTGGTGGCCAACCGAAGGTGCACATTTTCAGCTGACCTCTTTGGCAAGTAAACACTGTAGTATATTTTAATAAAATATTAATCCTAATTCATTCATTGCTACGTCTAACATTACCTTATCTTTAGAACTCTTATTCACTACCCTAAAACACAACTCTGAAAATATTATACTTAAGAACTTTTGCAATAAACTTCAGTTTCGTTACAACCTTTAAAGCGTGCGTTTCACTCAGCCTATCTAGTAGTCACAAACATAACAAACACGATTATTTTGTTTGCTTACAAACTGCTGGACAACGAATGTTTTCTCATCGGAGAAAACCAAATTCGGCAGTTCACCACTTGCTATTAGACTAAATTCGGTGGGATGTACCAAAATTTAGGTCATTTGGATTTATATTGACCATTTGGTGTACAATTAACCCATAATCGGTTGAAGATATATTGGAGCTATGTCTAAATCTGATCCGATTATCACCAATTTCAAAAGGGTTCGTTTTGGGTCGAACAAATATTGTTTGGAGAATTTCATCTCATTCGGATATTAAATGCGACCTGCATTTTGTTCACAAGAATACATGCAATACAATTTTTAAGATTTTAACAGAATTTTTAACGGATTTTATTGTTTTTGAGAATTGCCAAATTCGTTCCAAATGGTGGAGAGTATTCAAAGTCCGGCCCGGCCGAACTTACAGCTTTTTACTTGTTCATTCTATGTGGGTTATAGTCATTCGAAATTTTAACCCGTTGTGTGGGAGGTACTAGAAGGTGTGGACCGATATTGACCTCATATAACCTAGTACTGATGCAAATGCTAGGATTTACAAAGTTTGAACAAAATTATGTTATTTTCTTGGATTATGTTGAGCTTGTGTGGGGGAGGTACCAGCAGAAGTGAATCGATATAACCCATCTTCGAAATCGATCTAAGTTAGATAATAATATTACGATGTATCAAGCTTGGACGAAATCAGAGAGTTATCGTGAGCAATAGCCAGACAAACAGACGGACCTAGAACGGATTTTGTACGAAGAGACCTAGGGTCTAAAATCTTTATTTCGATGAGGCATATTTAAAAGGAGGATCCCAGAAATTATTTACCGCATAAGCTGTGGCAATCAGCCTGCCTGTATGCCTATACATCTTTAAAACGGTGCACAGATATTGAGATACTTGGTATTACACGGTATCAATACAGTAAGTCAAATATGAAAAAATCTCATGCGATAGAAAATATGACAAAAAATAAAAAAAAAATGTAAAAAAATATTTACTTTTTATTTGCATATTTTTACGTATGACGAAAAATTGTCTATGCAGATCTACGTCTTAGTATATCCCCCATACAGCGGTACCTCCCGTTATTCGGTATTTTGATGATATTAGCGACATTATGAAAGCCCCCATATAAAGGTTTTCATTTGAGCGGTATTTTTCAAGGGATTTTTTTCCGTCTAATTTAAACATAAGAGAGTTGATAATATTATCGATAAATGAATGTATTTGTAAAATGTTTATTATACAGGGTGAGATAAAAAACTTCAACAAATTTTATTGAATAAAAGCAAAAAATGTCGGAAATAGCATCAAATTTTAGGATAAGTTTAGATTTGTTCGAATTGGTCACCTTTGGCAAGAATTATGGCCTTCAAACGGCCAATGAAACCGTCACACGCTGTTCGAATGTTGCTGTGCGGTCTATTGGCCCATTCCCGGCGAAGCGTTGGCTTGAGGTGATCGACACTTTGGTATTTTTTAGTGCCAACCTTGCTTTCCAAAATACTCCAGACACAATAGTCCAACGGATTGGTATCCGGAGATTTTGGTGGCCATCGTGCGCTGGAAATGAAGCGGGGAATCTCATTTTGTAACCATTCTTAGTTGGCGCGATCTGAATGGAATGTCCAAAGTCTGCCAAAATGCTTGCGTGTCCAAGGCTTTAATACACCCTCCAGAATATTTTCGCGATAATATTCGGCATTTATTCTGATGCAACGGTCGATTAATACGAGGAGAGAGCGACCATCGGCTGTTATGGGGTGCCACACCATCGCTATGACCAGCGCTTGAGTTCAGGTGGCCAACCGAAGGTGCACATTTTCAGCTGACCTCTTTGGCAAGTAAACACCATCATTTTGTTTGTTTACAAACTGCTGGGCAACGAATGTTTTCTCATCAGAAACGGAGAAAACCAAATTCGGCAGTTCACCACTTTCGGCCAAGCGAAGCAACTCTTTAGCTCTTTTGAGACTATTTTCTTTCTGTACTTTTTGGAATTTTAATGGCTTTATCCCTCACCAGCCATTTTTCGGCCACTGCGACGCGGGTTTCGATCAAGTGGCTTCTTCACTTTTCGAACCATTTCTGCTGATGCTGCTGTTTTCAATGTAACGAGCGAAGGTACGAGACACTAGAGATTTATTCACATTTAAATGCTGGAGTGCTCTAACGATAGTCACTTGTTGTTTTCCAAAATATAAAGGAATAACACTATCACGCTTGAATTCCATCACGAATAACTTTTTTTTCTAGAAAATTCTCACGAAAATGCTTTTCTACGATTGTAAACAATATAATGAGCTGCCACTGGAATAATTTTAACTGCTGTCGGACGAGTGGCTTAGAAATGTGTTTTTCAGTTTTTTCGTCTCACCCTGTATACTTAAATAACCGTATTGGCTGCGGGTATACATCTGTCGACGAATCCGACTGACTTGTTTTTTTCGGTATTTTTATGATTTTAGCGACATTATTCGACGGAATTGTTTGAAATTTCATATTTGAAAATCCTAATAAGGAACCACAGGTCTTCGCCTTCGTATAGCCCCAATATAACGGTTTTTATTCAAACGGTATTTTTCGACGAAAATTTTATAGATTTTCCACTCCCATACAAATGAAGGAGGGTATTTAAAGTTCGGCCTGCGTTTTTACTTGTTTTCCTTACCATATAGCCTAAATGTTATTGCTCCATTGCACAGTGGTCGAGGTCGTATGGGAACAGCGGTCAAAAATACTTTCAGTGTAGATATCAATATGATTCTTTGGTTATGGTACCTTGATGGGATAAAAATAAAAAATGTGACAAAATGGATATGGTCGATTCATGTTTTGGCATGGTCCCCTTACAACGTACCTCCCGAATAAGGGTTATTTACCCAATTTTCGTCACATTTCTACACTAGATTGTTCTGTTATTTGACATTTTACGTTCTAAAGAGCTAAAAAATAGTCTTACTGAATATTATTTGGAACGGCTCGCCTTCAGGTAGAGTCCCCCTCTAAAGGTACCTCCAACAATAGAAGTATTTTTATACAAATCAATTCCAAATTTGATTATTTTTTTGCAAACAAAATAGACAATTTTTTTGTAGACAAAATAAACAATCTATATATATAAATGTAAGTTGTGTTAGTTACTACGCTTATAACTTAAGAACCGCTGGATTAATTTTAACGATTCACACAAATTCGGAGTTGTCTACTCTCCGAAAAGGATAATATCCAAAAAAATCGCGTAAAAATGTGATATATTAACATTTTCATTTTGACTTTTCAAATGTACAATAGTAATGTTTTATTTTGCATGATTTTTTTCCATTTTGACTTACTTTTTTCTAATGTACATTTGTAGTGTTTTTTATATTTTATTTTCGAATTCGAATATTAATACCAATTTATTTAATTGACTTGATTTCTTGAGAACTGAAATTGATGGCGGGTTACATGGAAGTGTAGTACCGAATTATGTGGTGGCGTAACGGAATAGACGATATCGAAATAATTTAACGCGGTCACACCAAAGTTAAAAGATAATTACTTTTTCTAAATCGCTGAAAAATCATGAAAAAGAGATCTCATTGCAAAAATCAAAAAAACATTTTCAATGGAATCGAATTTTAAAGTAATAGTACATTCTATTGACAAACTTTGTAAGGAAGGATCTTAAAACATTTGCTGTAAAAAATCAGCGAAAAAGTTGAAGACTTTTTCAATTTGTTATTCTTTTTTTTGTCA